ATAAAATCTTTATTCAATTCCTCATCACTATTGTCGAATTCACTTTGACATGGTAAAGTGTCGACTTATAACTTTTTATTTTGGTAATCGCTTAAAATTATCAATTTTGTATTTAAACAGTTCTAAATTTAACTAATAATTCGTACAATTTTTAGTTTTGATAACTTTGTTATTATACTTTTAACTATTTTGTTTCAAAATAAATTTGCCGATCCAAATTGGATCATCGTGTAAGTTTCGCTTTACAGCAGAAACCGTTGCATCGCGACTTCAATGTTCAAAGGAAATAGTTGGGATTTAGGTTTTTCTGCGACTTGGGGGCGGAGCTTGATACTAATCAGCCAATGATTGAACAAGTTTTCGAAAAGCTCCGCCCCTCAGATTGAAAGAAAGAACAAAATCCAGACAAACTTCAAAACAAAGAGGTCGCAATGCAACGATTTCCGCTGTAAATAATATACTTTTAGAACTAGGATTAGATTATCAGTTTAAGAATCGTACTTAAACAAATTATATTGATTGAATAGCAATTTCTGATGGATGTAGAAAACCTAAAAATATCGATAACCTGGATCTTATTGTGTCTTTAAAGGTTTACGATCAACCGGCATTCCCTGCGATCCTCCTCTTTATGTCTTTTTCAATGAAAATATAAAGAAACTAGTCTTTACCACTAACAGTCTTCTAACCAATGGATGGATACGGATTGCAAGCAAATATATTATAGTCAATTCGTTTTCTGTGTATGAAAAATCTGAGATACGACCGCGCGTTGAATGCCGGATTATCATGCACCTTTTATTTAACAATTAGACCTCGAGGTCGAGTTGACTACGAGCTAATAGCCCATGAGGCCGAGTCCGCGAGGCCGAATGCGCTATTAGCTCGTAGTCCACGAGGCCGAGAGGTCTAATTGTTTTAGTATAAACATACTAATCGGTCAAATAATGAAAAAATGGAAATATCCTTAAAATAATTTATAATTTATTTATTTTGATTTTCCCGCGAGTGGTCTATCACAAATTAGACCCATAGTAGAGTAGCCAATCACAGCGCAGTATGAGTGATAGACCATTAGTATGTTTATACTAATAAGTTATAGAAATTGAAGAAGTATAGATCACATGCAGTCTCTTAGTACGATTCGGAGTTTTTATATAAAACTTCCCTCCAGAAAACTGCACAGTCCACTCAARTCATTTCTTTGCATTTGCTTCTAGATTTATACTTCCTCCAAAAGTTGCAATTCAGTTTATGATTGGWAGAAATATACTGTATTTATTTTGGTATAAACCACTTTTTTTTCGTCAAAGCAGCTTCATCTGGAGCATTTATAAAACTCATTAATATTCATAAGGCAAAACACAATAGAAATCATAGCCCATGAAGAGAGTTGTATATTACATACAGATTTCTTGTTCATTTGCATAAACTTTAAATCTGATTTTCTCGGTCAGATTGATTTTTTTTTTAAAAGTTTCTTTAAAACCTGAGCT